TGTGTAGTAGAGTGCTGTATGAATGTGTGTGTAGTAGAGTGCTGTATCAATGTGTGTGTAGTAGAGTGTTGTACGAATGTGTGTTGGGGATAAATGAGGCACAGATTGTGTTGTAAAGAGCTTTGAGTATCTTTATTAGATTGAAAGGAGCTATACGAGTACAGTGCATTTGTCATTGACCATTTTGTTTCTGTAAATTGTCAAACTACCCTTGCATGAAAAATATAATTTTTTAAAAACATTTTCCACGATATGAAAGTCCACTTTGGAAAAGCATCTATTGTGAATGTAACCTGAGTTAAACAAAGTTGTTCTAAGTATAAACTGACAGTTCGTTAAGATGCATTTCAAGTTGTTGCTTTCATGGGCTCTTTGTGGTCTTCTTCTTTAAAGTTTTTACACATTTTAATTCATAAACTGGACAGTGAGTGTCTCCGTGTGTGCTGGGTTTTTGAATTTCCTTGTTTGAGTCACAAAGTCTTGCAGTCTTGCCACTGAAGAGGCTCAAAATTGTTTTGCATCAAAGTTTACTTCAAAAGTACCGGTAGTCACAAAATTATCAGACATCTCCAACTTGTATAAAGAGACAATATGTGTTCTCGTTTAAAGTTGTATTCAACTGTTGGTCAAAGCACAGCTGCATATATATACAGTGCCTTGCGAAAGTATTCGGCCCCCTTGAACTTTTCAACCTTTTGCCACATGTCATGCTTCAAACATAAAGATATAAAGGCCAGATTTTTGCAGTGTACGACTGATTGTTGTCCTATGGACAGACTCTCCCACCTCAGCTGTAGATCTCTGCAGTTCATCCAGAGTGATCATGGACCTCTTGGCTGCATCTCTGATCAGTCTTCTCCTTGTTTGAGATGAAAGTTTAGAGGGACGGCCGGGTCTTTGTAGATTTGCAGTGGTCTCATACTCCTTCCATTTCAATATGATTGCTTGCACAGTGCTCCTCGGGATGTTTGGAGCGGTCAATGCAGTGGTTTGTGATCGTGTCATTGGGAGGGA